TAATTTTAACAGCTGTCGGACGAGTAGCTTAAAAATGACAGCAGTCTGAAGTTGGTTGCAGTTTTTTCATCTCATCCTGTACATACTCTAATTTGACTTATTTCGAGGATATTTACAAAATTTGTCAATCGATTTATCCACTCAGAATCTTAAGGCTTTATCCGATTAGAACAAAACTTTCATAGGCATTTTAATGCTTGACATAGCTCATATATTTTCTTCTTTTCTGCAATTATTTTCAATACGTAGGGATCTAATTTTTGCATACAATGGTATATTATGCTCAATTCATCTTCTCTATCAAATAATTAACAACTTCCACTGCCCTTTTTATTTGGTTTACTATCCTCTAAGTCAATTAATTCGTAAAGCATATGCTTTGGTTTTCAAACGTTTTGATTTATCGCTTAAATCTGCATAGACTAAACGGCGCATAAACTTGGATCATAGCCACATTTTATTTTTATTTCAAACATGTTTTGAATAGAAAATTATTTTCTAAATTAAAAAATATAAAAATGCTATAACGAAATATATGAAACTATATAAAACTTTTTTAACACATTGTGCATATTTCAACAAAATATAATTTATGGCCATGGCAAGTTCATGGGCAAGACTAAGTCTCCATTAAACTTAGCCCACATGTGTCGCTCAGTGATTTAAAAAAATGGATGTAATGAAATATTAAAATATGAAAATCATCTTGGAGTGAAATTTCAGAGAAAATTTGAAGCGTGTATGGAAAACCCATCATAATTATTTTTTATGAATATTGTGATTGTAATATGAAATATCTAAAAAATTAAGTGATAATAATATTGACGAACTTGTAATACTCTACAATCTCCTTAAAAACAATGGAATTCGCCTCCATATTCCTGAACTCAATGATAGTCATTTTTAAGCATCTGGATTTTTTTTAGATTTTCAATTTGAAAACAATTTCATAAAGTAATACGATCATCAACTAGTATATAAATTCAGTCCTCTAATATAGTGAAAAATATGTCTTTGAACCCTTAACTCAACTGCGAGTGCGACCACAACATTCCCTGATCCAACGCATCATGCATATCCGAAAAAAACCGCATATCATTCACATGAATTAATTACCACGACCGCACAAAAACGAAAACAAAACAATATTCAAAATCATGAACGTCATATTCATTAGGCCTTAATTAACAAAATAGTTAATATTATGATTAATCACATTTGCAAAAGCCACAAAAAACACATTCACTCGCTTTGCGGACAAAAAAATAGAGAGACACCAAAAGAAGAAGAAAAAACAGCAAAACTTAATGGCAAAAATGGCAGCAAAAATTGTCAGACTCAAAAGGCCTCACCAAACATTCCAAAAGTCGCTTTGTTGTAAGGTTGAAATGGAAAAACAAAGGGCCTTTTTTATCTCTCTCTTTCGTTGCCCACGTTTGTTGTCATTATTGTAATAATTATAATTTTTTGTTTTTGTATTTTTTTACAAGCTATTATTAATATGCATGCTTATATGTGTGTATGTGTATTTGTGTAATGATGGTGTTACGGTATCCGTCTATCATACGACAGATGATTTGTCTATGAAACGTTTTATTGTTTTCTGAATTTTTGATGTTCATTCCAGCTTGGGCCTATATGGCAGCCGAATCTTTCCCTCTCCCTGTGTTTTCTCAGTGTCTGTCATTTCTATTAACCTCAATTGTTGATGAGACTGCCACAAACACGCACATGCATTAATATATTGCACCATTTTACCATCAAATGTGTGGAAGAAATTATGAACAATTAATATTCATATTTACAGTCTGTGGTGGAAATATTGTGGAGAATAATCTGTCAGATAATTGTTGCATTAATAACACTGTATATACTGTTTCAATAAATGGTTATAAGGAAAACTCAGTAGATTATGACGCCATATATACAGGGTGAGATGAAAAAACTGCAACCAACTTCAGACTGCTGTCATTTCAAAGCCACTCGTCCGACAGTTCTTAAAATTATTCCAGTGACAGCTCATTATATTGTTTACAAACGTACAAAAGCATTTTGGTGAGCATTTTCTAGAAAAAAGTTATTTGTGATGGAATTCAAGCGTGATAGTGTGATTTCTTTATATTTGGCTGGAAAACCACAAGTGGGTATCGTTAGAGCACTCCAGCATTTAAATGTGAATAAATCTTTTGTGTCTCGTACCATCGCTTGTGACCGTGATACTGGTAGCGTAGCCCGACGCAAGGAAATGGACGGAAGAAGACAGTAACATCTGCAGTAAAGAAGCGACTTGATCGAAACCAGCGTCGCAGTGGCCAAAAAATGGCTCGTGAGCTGAACATATCGCAATATTCCATTCGCAATATTGAAAAATGAGCTCGGGGTAAAGCCATTGAAATTCCAAAAAGTGCAAGAACTTACACCGCAACAGAAAGAAAATAGACTCAAAAGAGCTAAAAACTTGCTTCGCTTGGCCGAAATGGTGAATTGCGAATATGGTTTTCTCCGATGAGAAACGACTACATCGAATATCCACCAATTCTTAAAAAAAAATGATCGTGTTTACTTGCCAAAGAGGTTAGCTGAAAATGAGCACCTTCGGTTGGCCACCAGAACTCAAGCCATAACAGCCGATGGTCGCTCTCCGCTCGTATTAATCGACCGTGGCATCAGAATAAATGTCAAATATTATCGCAAAAATATTCTGGAGGGTGTATTAAAGCTTTGGGCACGCACACATTTTGGCCACAGACCTTGGACCTTCCAACAGAACTCAACACCACCGCACTCAGTACGCGCCACCCAAGAATAGTTACAAAATGAAGTTTATCGCTTCATTTCTAGCGCACAATGGTCACCAAAATCTCCGGATACCAATCTGTTGGACTATTGTGTCTAAAGTATTTTGGAAAGCAAGGTTGGCACAAAAAAATACTAAAGTGTCGATCACCTCAAGCAAGCGCTTCGGCGTTAATGGCCCAAAATACCACAGAGCAACATTCGGGCAGCGTGTGACGGTTTCATTGGATGTTTGAAGGCCATAATTCGTGCCAAAGGTGACCGATACGAACAAATCTAAACATATTCTAAAATGTAATGCTATTTCTCAATTTTGTTTGCTTTCCTTCCATTAAATAAAAAATTGTAAAAATTATGGCGTTTGACTTTGTTGCAGTTTTTTTATCTCACCCTGTGCGTCTGTCCGACTGTTGTAATCACGCTAGTGTCAAAACGAATCATGATAGGAAGCTAAAATTTTGCACAGATCTGTCTTTTGTCTGCAGGCAGGCCTAGTTCAAAGATGGGCTATATCGGTCCCCCATATAATGGTACCCCCGATATTCTTTATTTTGATGATTTTACAATTATCTGAGATTCTACACAAGAAGTTCTTCGTGACTACTTTACGCCCTGAAAAATAATTGTCTATATAGGTATACGATATCGTATTTCCCCATATAACGGTACCTTCCGATATTCGGCCACATTTTTTTATGGAATTGTCTGAAAATCCACAAAAGGAGTTCTCTCCGAGTACTTTACCCCTGGAAGAGAATTGTCTATATAGGTCCACGTTTTAGTATAGCGCCTATATAACAATACCCCCAGATATTCGATATTTCCATGACTTTAGCGACATTTTTCCCGGGAATTGTTTCAAATTCCGTATTTAAAGTTCAGGTCTACGTCTTCGTATAGACCATTTCCAACGGTACCTCCCTTTATTCCGTATTCTCTTATTAGCAAAACTATTCACCGGAATTGTTTCAAATTTGATAATATTAACGACATTATTCAACGAAATTGTTTCAAATTTCGTGCTTGAAGTTGGGAATTGGTACTACAGCCTATGACAAAAAATTACTTATCCAGGTCCACGTCTAACACATTCACCATATCATCATGAATTTCTTGTCCCGATAATCCTTTTTTATGTAAGTATTTAATGACAGCAGGCATTTCTAATTTTCCATTGCAAAAAAATTGCGGAAGCATCTTTTTTGAACACCTGTTTCAATATGAAGGAGTTGCCAGATCGAAACAAAATTTAACATGTGTTCATAACAGAGATGGAAGTTACCAAAACACTTAACTTTTTTCTGTTTATACCGCGATTTTTGTGCTAGGCTAAGAAGTTTCCGAACTTCCCTCGTATAGCTCCCATTTAACGGGTTTCATTTATATGGTATTTTTCGACAGATTTTTTTGAAGTTCAGCCCGGCCGAACTTTGCTTCTTTTTTACTTGTTATTGATTTATTTTCATTTAGAAGCTGCAATGGCTTTCTAAATTCTTTTTTGCGAAGGAAGGCTATTTTGACCTTAAATATGTGATTTTGGGGTTTTATATAAAAATTCTTGAAATAATATTTACCTTGATGTCTCGTCACCATATTCGTATATATGTATATGTATTTGTTCTTCAGTTAGACAAATTTTAAATTCTGATTTGAGCAAAAATGTATATTTCTATGTAATGCATAAAACATGAATCGCGATATTTGGCACCGACAAGATTTAATTTTGTTTATTTTATTTTTTATTTAAAAAAGTGGAAACAAAACAAAAACTCAAAAAACGTGTTAACGAACAACTGGTTTCATTTCGAGTATTTGCATACAATTTTTGTACCGGCCTTAAAACGAGAAAAAAAAACAATATTTAAATATTTTCAAAGCAATAATAAATATTTTCAAAGCATACGTCGAAGCTAACAAATTTTGATATGCAAATTCGTGACATAACATACAGAATGAGTATGAAAACACAAAACAAACACTTTATTCTCTAACAATAAGTGTAAATCATTTATATAAACAACAAATAGAGAGAGAGACCCCTTTACCACCACCCTCTCTTTTACAAGGCCAAATAAAGTAGCAAGTTTTGTGTGCCGTTTTTAGAAATAAGTTATAAAAGATATTTGTTTTCTGTATTTGAAGTCTAAACAAAATTAAGTTTTACTAAAATTCTTTTGTTTTCCTTTTTTTTTTTTTTGTTTCAGATAAAACTTAAAAAAGTTTTAGGACTCACAGTATGCAGTAATGCAGCCTTGGATTGTTCGCCCATCAGCGGTCTATTGGCATATCCAGCTGGGTAAGTAATTTTTGTAAACAAAATGGTAATCTTTTAAAGGGAATGTTTCTGAGAAGGAAAGGGGGTATCAAGGAATTCAAGACGAAAGCACTGTTTTATTCAGACTGATGCTGCTAAAAGAATGGCTATTTAAAACTTGGCACTTTTACTCTGCAGACTCTTACACTTGATTTTTTGCGAATATTTTATTTTACACTCGAAAAAAATCTGCTGAAAATGTACAAATAAACCTCTTCGACATTGGAATGTCTGTTGGCAATTAAGCAAAGATTCGTTAAACAAAAATTCAAAATTTGTTATGCTTAGCTGGGCCATCAACGTTAATTTATTTTTTGCTTTGCTTTCTTGAATTTTTTCCGCCATTGTTTGTAAATTTGTTATGTAAATTGAGTTTTCGGCAAAATCTTTTATCTATTGACAGTTGAGGGTTAGGTGTGAAATAAATTGCTAATAATTATTATCGAATGTGTTTTTTGTGCATAACATTTTTGAGCAGGTGTCAAAAAATGACTACTTATTTGTCTGCCCATGGATGCAACAAAAGCTGAAAAAGAAGGAATGTTTTTTTAATATTTGTTCATATAAGTGAATTATAGTTTAATTGTTTTTTTTTTCTTAAATATGTAGGAATTTTTTAAAATGTTCACATATCTATCTGGCCATGAAACATATTTTCCAACCTTCTTTTAATCGTAGCAAGTCAAAATATTCTACAAAATTATTTATCTTGAAAATCTACTATAGGTCCTAAAGAAGTCAAGAGTCTAAATCATACCTCAATGCCAGGAATCCAAAATACTAATTTCCAGTAAAATAGATTAGAAAATACAGGGTGAGATAAAAAACTGCAACAAAGTCAAAAAATGAAAGCAAAAAATGTCTGAAAAAGCGTCAAATTTTAGAATAAGTTTAGATTTGTTCGAATTTTTGGCATGAATTATGGACTTCAGACGGCCAATGAAACCGTCACACGCTGCCCGAATGTTGCTTTGTGGTATTTTGGCCCATTCCCGGCGAAGCGCTTGCTTGAGGTGATCGACACTTTGATATTTTTTAGTGCCAACCTTGTTTTCCAAAATTCTCCAGACGTAATAGTCCAACGGATTGGTGTCCGGAGATTTGAGTGGCCACTGTGCGCTGGAAATGAAACGAGGAACCTCATTTTGTAAACATTCTTGGGTGGCGCGTGCTGAGTGCAATGGTGCTGAGTCCTCTTGGTATGTCCAAGGTCTGTGGCCAAAATGTTTGCATTCCCAAGGCTTTAAAACACCCTCCAGTATATTTTCGCGATAATATTCGGCATTTATTCTGATGCCACGGTCGGTAAATACGAGCGGAGAGCGACCATCGGCTGTTATGGCGCCCACACCATCACCATGGCTGGCGCTTGAGTTCTGGTGGCCAACCGAAGGTGCACATTTTCAGCTGACCTCTTTGGCAAACTGCTGGACAACGAATGTATTCTCATCAGAGTAGATTTACATAAGACTTAGTTGAAAATCAGCAATACTGACCCATTCGTTCTGGAGCATCCCCACAAAATGTTAAAATGTTGAATAATAAATCCCACTTAAAGTGGGTATTCAATGTCCGATTTTCTTTAAAATATTCACATCCCAATATTTTTGTCTACATTGAAGCTGTTACCTCTCCCACAAAAGTTTAATAGAATAAGATGTGCTTTTTCGAGTCACTCCCTCTCGTAGCTTAGACCCCAAATATAATAACCATAAATTTAATAGCCTTTAAGAATCCCATCCATTTCTCTTCAATTTTTAAAAATTTGTAGAAAAATCTTTAAACTACCAAGTGCTCAATACTTCGTCAATGAATGGACCACTTTAAAATTTAGATTCGCTCTAACAGTTCGCGTTAGGCCTGCTTAGTACTCAAAATGAATAATAGGAAATTGTTTGCCTTTTACACCAAAAAGTCTTATTTTATTTTGAAGTTTACCGAGAAGAATATTAGTACAATAACTGCACAATGGACCCACATCCAAATTATCTGTCCAAAACTATTTCAACTTCTCCATATGTAAATACCAACAGAGACCTCAATCTATTCCTCTATTCCTTCATCTAATACCTTTACCCAATACCAAATTTAGTACTTTTTGTTCAAATATAGGACGCATTTAAAAGCCCGCGCCAAATCTCAAACAAATATACCTAAATATAAAATTCCCGAATTTTATAACTTTCCCTTCACTCAATACCAAATATTGTACCATTTAGTACTTTTCGAACAATTATAGTACACATTTCTGAAACCACCTCCATATCATAGCCCCAGACACGAACGGTAACATATATATTAAATTTCAGGATTTCAGCTCTATTCCTTTACCCAATACCAAACATTGTACCAAACATTACTTTTCGTACAATTTTAGTACACATTTCCAAACTACCTCCATATGTCCAGACTATACATGAACAGCGAGGAAATTCCAAATTTCAGATTGCAAGCACTATATGTTCATCCAATACCTAATTGTACCAAATATAGTACTATTTAGTATTTTTCGCGCACTTGAAGTATACATTTCCAAAACCATCTCCTTATCACAAACCTACCACCAGCAGAGACCCCAATACAAAGTTTCAAAATTTCAGCTTTATTAGCTCACCTCAAAGCCCAAATGTTCCAAAGTTGGTACTATTTAATACAGTTCGCATGGTTGCTGGAAAAAATTCCAACCCCAACTCCTTATCTTAACCCAAATAAAAACACTACTAATTACCAGCTTCTTCTGTTCACCCAAAACGGAATTGTACCAAGTTTAGTATCATTTAGTACAGTTTTTACACTTAGTACACATTTCCAAAACCACCTCCATACTTCAATCCCATTTCCAAGAATTGATTCTTATACCAATTTCAGGATTTTACCAATATCCGTTTGCATACTTCCAAATGGTACCAAATTTAGTGAATTTCAGTACTTTTGGTACAGGTATTGTAGAATTTCGAAATACCCTTTAGTTTGTCTATCTTAAAAAAACATCAAAGACTCTCACTCCAAATTTCAGAGTACTTTTTATACCCTCAGCCATAAGGCTAGAGAGGGTATATATTATTTGAAACGGCCAAAACGTGCCTCATCGAAACAACGGTTTTGGATCAAATCCGTTGCAGGATATTTGGAGTCGTTCTAGCGATGTACGCCCGTCCGTCCGCACGATAACTCTCAAAGGGAATATCCGATTTGATCCAAACTTGTGATACATCGTAATATTATTATCAAACTTAGATCGAGTTCGGAGATAGGCAATAGCGATTCATTCCTTCTGACACCTCCCCCACATTTTCACAGAAAGAGAAAGGATAATCCGATATTGCTTCAACTTTGCAAATCGTAATATTTGTACCATGTCATGTCATGTGTGAAAATAGACAATATCGGTCCACTCCATCAAGTACTTCTTCTACGAAGGGTCAACATTTTTATTTTAACTCTTATACAATGTGATGTAAGTGTCCGATTCTCTTCAAATTACACACATTTTTATTAAGATGGAATATATCGGTTCACTCCTTCTAGTACCTCCCCCACAAAGGGTCAAAATTTTGAATATTCAATAAGCTTATAAAACACGAAATTAACATCCGATTCCATTCAGACTTGGCACGTCCCAATATTTTCATCAACGCAAGATCTCTTATACAGATGGTAGAGATTTGACCATTTCTTCCGGTACCTCCCCCACAACGGGTCAAATTTTTGAACATCCATGAACCTCATAAAATCCCACATGACACTTCATATACCTCTACCGACCGATTATTGGTGTTTTAGATGTGTTTACCATATTTTCGGGTCAAACTGGACTATTTCATATTTTGGAACATTAATTGATACAACTCTTCTAAAATGTATGAAATTTTGGTCTAGGTATTGAAAATGTTCCCATATATTCTACCGTGGAGGATATAAAAATTGGGATTTCAATGTCATTTTATTTATTAAAATTTCGTACAATTATTTAAACCCATTGGAACACTTGTCACTTTTATTTAGGCTTTATAGGCTTTGATTTATTTTTTTCTTGGGCTTTATGAACGCTTTTTAGCCATTATTTTCAAATATTAACTTTTTTCTTTGAGCATAAAATTGAAACCCAATGTTCACACAAAATCCAACTACTCAAAAGGTGAATAGGGTCAACAGTAGAAAAGTAAAAGCCTACAAATATTCAAATGTTGTGTATTTGAAACAAGTTGGCCGAGCAAGTGCTACCGCATTTAGATCCACAAACCCCCCACCAACAATTGCCCGCAGAAATTCCATTTTCTTTGGCAAAGCTTTTAGAAAAATAGTTGCTGCTCTCCTTTTTGTTTCGTCTTACCACCAAAACAATCTTTGAAAATGGAATAGCTTGGGTGTCTCTTTTTTGCGGAACTTATTTTGTCTACCGCAAAACATTTCTATCCCACAAAAAATGCGCCCACCAAACAAAATCTGTTTCAATCTGTGGCTTGCATTTAGCCTTTCAAACGGCCTGGTTAGTTCACAGAGCTGCCATCCCACTCCAATGTTGTTGGCATCTTCCAAACAATTTCATGAATTAAATGTGTGTTAAAGGTCATTCATTAAACACTCGCTGGCGAAAGTGTTTCCCTTGCAATTGCGCAAGGTTTTTTGTTGTTGTTTTCTTTTATTTGCCAAGCCAGTTGTTGGTCTGGGTGTTTTTAGCTGCTGAGGTGCGGGTTGAATTCTTTCTATTGTACCCCGGTTGCATTGTACTTCAATGCACTTTAGTTTGTTAGGTACTTGAGCTATTTTTCTACAGTTTCCAGATTTTTTCCCTCCTTTTTTGTCGCACACACTTTGTTGGGCAATTGTGCACAGACACCCAAGGTGTGCGATGTTTGAAATGTGAAAAAGGGCAAAATATGTAGAGATGTCGTTGTGGCCGATGAATTAAAATTTCTAAAAAAAATCAATATCAAAATAAAATTGCAAAGCAAATTAAACCCTCTACAATTTATCATTAT